CGATGTAGCACTTTTTTAGCTCTGCCATTTCTTGCTCTAAGGCTTTATTGGCGGCCTCCTGTGCCTTCAGCACAGTCATTACACCCTGCATCTGAAGGGCTAGGCTGGTGTTAGCACGGGTTAGGCTGGTGTTCGCACGGGAAAGCTCGGCTCTGGTCATTTTGCTGATGTCCACAGGCGTCAGGGTTGTCGGTGTGTTCTTTTCAATGATTATGTCATTTTGTGCAGAAATCACACCCATGAGCTCCACTTTGGTTTTATCAGAGTAATAACCCATGTTCTGCTGCAAAAAGACACTCTCACAGCCTTCACATCTCTCTAGCTTCACCTTATGCTGCAGTTCTCGTATTTCGCCCTTGAGGGCCTCAATTAGTTCTTGCTGCTTTTTCCTCACACCCCTCTCCCTTGTCAGCCGCAAGTTCAGCTTATCAATTTGGTCCCACGAAGTTGGCGTCCAAAGGGGAGGGCTTGCCTGCTCTTCTTGGTGGTAGGGGGCCTGTTGGTGAACCCCCAGGCCTACTTGTGGGAGGGCCTGGTGGATCGCCTGGCGGCCTCCTTGCTCTCTTTGGCTGAAGGTTTGTGGTTCTCCGTAATTCTGCATATTGATTTCCACTCAGGGATGATCAAAGTCCTTCTTCTTATCGCTTAAAGCTGATAAAAACCAAAGTTCTTCCTCTTATTGCTGAGAGTTGAGAAATCCGTGTCTCAAACGTAGACTTCTTCTAGACAGTGCTAGTTCAGAGTACATCTCGACTCCCCTTGATAAGATCAAAGCTCTGATGACATCATCACAGCTCTGATGACATCATCACAGCTCTGTGATGTCATCAGAGCTGTGATGATTTTCATCATTTTTTTGTTTGTTTTGTTTTGGTTTGTTTTTATTTAAAATTGTTTTGATTTGAATTTCCAATGATCTCTTTACTGCCTTTCAACCAAATATGGATAAAATGGCCGCAATACAGCTGACCCAGTGCTGATCAGTGGTGATTAAACAACAGCTGTTTTTCATGAAATGAAGGCAAGTGGTATTTTGTCAAAGTGTTGTTTGGTGTTGTACTTTTATTGCTGCGTACCAATTTTATGTGGCTGTGCATATCTATAGCAATATTACAGATTGTAATACATATACTTTTTTTTTTTTGAGACATTTCATAGCGCCACCTAGGCACAGTTAAACGAAACATGGTGCTGGTTTTCTTGCCGCTGTGGTACCCCATCAGGTGTGTCCTGAACAAATCTCAGCTGCATCCCATTAATAAAGAAGGAGTTACAGACCATTAACCGAAAAATGCATTCCCCTCTGCCACCAGGTGGCACTGCAACATACGGATGTAAGTTTGGTGTCAAATTGTTTGATGCTGGAGCATTCTCAAATGATTGAAATCTGGCAGAGGTAGAACCAGTAAACAGGAAGTTATACAGGAAACTCCCCAAGCATTTTTTGTTCATATATACATGGGCACAGCAAAATATGCTAGTTAAAGCCGGTCCTTACCCACCTGCCAAATTTCATGGGGTTTTGAGCCCGTCTATGGTGGGGTGCCAAAAAAAACAAAAGTTCCTCACTAAAGCTTTAAATAGTGAGGGGTGGATTTCAAACCACTTAATTCAGTTTTTGACACCATTTTATAAAAACAGTCCCAGCTTGTTTTTTTTTGTTTTTTATTTCAAAGTTTTTTAAATCAAAGTAACACACTTTTTCCCAGAATCTTTGATGGAGAAAAGTTTATTTTCCGTTTTGTAGAAACTTCTCACCAAAACCGAAACTGTGAATAACCAAAATAAATACCCAGCAGAACCAATAGACTGTGAAGTGTAGTTACAAAAATAAGTATATGCATTGTAAACAAACTCAATTGTTAAAGCATCTGAATATTAGCTTTGTGTGTTTACAATAGCAATCATCCAAAAATGCAGCATGTGGCTGGGTTTTCTAGAGTTTCTGCCCAGGATTTAAAGTTTTTTGAGCATATTTTCAGAATGACATTTTTGAATACTATATTGGTTTGAATTTAACATCCCAGCCTTGATTGCTTTTCTCTGTGTACTTAAGTCCTCTTTAAAGTAATCCCCAGAATAAGAGCAAACACAGTTCTTTTTTTTTCTTTGTTTTTTTATTTTTCTTGCAAAGTTTTTAGTAGTTTAGTTGGGCAAGGAGCCAGGGATTTTCAGTCCTGCCGCTGCATCTGCCTCTGCCTCTTGTATTGGCGGCGATGTTTGGGAGTCACACTCTTTTTGAACCTCCTCCACAGAGAGATGGCCTCCATCTCAGCTGTCTCCTTGACTGTATCAGGATCATCTTCTTCGCAGATGACATTGCTTGTCCCCTCCTGATCTTCAAGTTTGGATGTCTCCTGTAGCAGATCATCCACTGTGGTCTTCAGGATGTCCTTTCCTTCCTCCATTCTCTCATCCAGCTGCAGTTCTTGCAGTTTCTTCACCTGTTCTTCCAGAGAAAGTTTATCAGCATTCAGCCTCTGAACTTGCTCCCTGTCCTTACTGATCTTCTCTTCAAACATGCTCCTCATTTCCTCCTGTTCTTGTTGGAGGGTAGAGGCCCTCTGTCTTTCATCATCAAGCTTCTTTTTCAGAGATGCGACCTGATCTTGAAGTTCTTGCACTCCAGCCATTTCTTGTGCATCATAAGCCTTCTCCTCCATACTGAAAGGCGCTGCTGCCATCTCACCGATGTAGCACTTTTTTAGCTCTGCCATTTCTTGCTCTAAGGCTTTATTGGCGGCCTCCTGTGCCTTCAGCACAGTCATTACACCCTGCATCTGAAGGGCTAGGCTGGTGTTAGCACGGGTTAGGCTGGTGTTCGCACGGGAAAGCTCGGCTCTGGTCATTTTGCTGATGTCCACAGGCGTCAGGGTTGTCGGTGTGTTCTTTTCAATGATTATGTCATTTTGTGCAGAAATCACACCCATGAGCTCCACTTTGGTTTTATCAGAGTAATAACCCATGTTCTGCTGCAAAAAGACACTCTCACAGCCTTCACATCTCTCTAGCTTCACCTTATGCTGCAGTTCTCGTATTTCGCCCTTGAGGGCCTCAATTAGTTCTTGCTGCTTTTTCCTCACACCCCTCTCCCTTGTCAGCCGCAAGTTCAGCTTATCAATTTGGTCCCACGAAGTTGGCGTCCAAAGGGGAGGGCTTGCCTGCTCTTCTTGGTGGTAGGGGGCCTGTTGGTGAACCCCCAGGCCTACTTGTGGGAGGGCCTGGTGGATCGCCTGGCGGCCTCCTTGCTCTCTTTGGCTGAAGGTTTGTGGTTCTCCGTAATTCTGCATATTGATTTCCACTCAGGGATGATCAAAGTCCTTCTTCTTCTTATCGCTTAAAGCTGATAAAAAACCAAAGTTCTTCCTCTTATTGCTGAGAGTTGAGAAATCCGTGTCTCAAACATAGACGTCTTCTAGACAGTGCTAGCTCAGAGTACATCTCGACTCCCCTTGATGAGATCAAAGCTCTGATGACATCATCACAGCTCTGTGATGACATCACAGCTCTGTGATGTCATCAGAGCTGTGATTTTTTTCATCTTTTTTTTGTTTGTTTTGTTTTGGTTTGTTTTTATTTAAAATTGTTTTGATTTGAATTTCCAATGATCTCTTTACTGCCTTTCAACCAAATATGGATAAAATGGCCGCAATACAGCTGACCCAGTGCTGATCAGTGGTGATTAAACAACAGCTGTTTTTCATGAAATGAAGGCAAGTGGTATTTTGTCAAAGTGTTGTTTGGTGTTGTACTTTTATTGCTGCGTACCAATTTTATGTGGCTGTGCATATCTATAGCAATATTACAGATTGTAATACATATACTTTTTTTTTTTGAGACATTTCATAGCGCCACCTAGGCACAGTTAAACGAAACATGGTGCTGGTTTTCTTGCCGCTGTGGTACCCCATCAGGTGTGTCCTGAACAAATCTCAGCTGCATCCCATTAATAAAGAAGGAGTTACAGACCATTAACCGAAAAATGCATTCCCCTCTGCCACCAGGTGGCACTGCAACATACGGATGTAAGTTTGGTGTCAAATTGTTTGATGCTGGAGCATTCTCAAATGATTGAAATCTGGCAGAGGTAGAACCAGTAAACAGGAAGTTATACAGGAAACTCCCCAAGCATTTTTTGTTCATATATACATGGGCACAGCAAAATATGCTAGTTAAAGCCGGTCCTTACCCACCTGCCAAATTTCATGGGGTTTTGAGCCCGTCTATGGTGGGGTGCCAAAAAAAAACAAAAGTTCCTCACTAAAGCTTTAAATAGTGAGGGGTGGATTTCAAACCACTTAATTCAGTTTTTGACACCATTTTATAAAAACAGTCCCAGCTTGTTTTTTTGTTTTTTATTTCAAAGTTTTTTAAATCAAAGTAACACACTTTTTCCCAGAATCTTTGATGGAGAAAAGTTTATTTTCCGTTTTGTAGAAACTTCTCACCAAAACCGAAACTGTGAATAACCAAAATAAATACCCAGCAGAACCAATAGACTGTGAAGTGTAGTTACAAAAATAAGTATATGCATTCTGTTTTCTTTTTACATGTGTGTAGACTCTGTCCCCTCTATAATGAAAAAAAAACAACACCCGTGACACTTAGCAGAAACTCTACTCCCAACAGCTGAATACAAAAATGCTGTCCTGGACACAATATTAGGATTCATGCTCCTATTTCCAAAAAGCAAAACACACTTACCAATGTAAACAAACTCAATTGTTAAAGCATCTGAATATTAGCTTTGTGTGTTTACAATAGCAATCATCCAAAAATGCAGCATGTGGCTGGGTTTTCTAGAGTTTCTGCCCAGGATTTAAAGTTTTTTGAGCATATTTTCAGAATGAAATTTTTGAATACTATATTGGTTTGAATTTAACATCCCAGCCTTGATTGCTTTTCTCTGTGTACTTAAGTCCTCTTTAAAGTAATCCCCAGAATAAGAGCAAACACAGTTCTTTTTTTTTCTTTGTTTTTTTATTTTTCTTGCAAAGTTTTTAGTAGTTTAGTTGGGCAAGGAGCCAGGGATTTTCAGTCCTGCCGCTGCATCTGCCTCTGACTTTGTATTGGCGGCGATGTTTGGGAGTCACACTCTTTTTGAACCTCCTCCACAGAGAGATGGCCTCCATCTCAGCTGTCTCCTTGACTGTATCAGGATCATCTTCTTCGCAGATGACATTGCTTGTCCCCTCCTGATCTTCAAGTTTGGATGTCTCCTGTAGCAGATCATCCACTGTGGTCTTCAGGATGTCTTTTTCTTTCTCCATTCTCTCATCCAGCTGCAGTTCTTGCAGTTTCTTCACCTGTTCTTCCAGAGAAAGTTTCTCAGCATTCAGCCTCTGAACTTGCTCCCTGTCCTTACTGATCTTCTCTTCAAACATGCTCCTCATTTCCTCCTGTTCTTGTTGGAGGGTAGAGGCCCTCTGTCTTTCATCATCAAGCTTCTTTTTCAGAGATGCGACCTGATCTTGAAGTTCTTGCACTCCAGCCATTTCTTGTGCATCATAAGCCTTCTCCTCCATACTGAAAGGCGCTGCTGCCATCTCACCGATGTAGCACTTTTTTAGCTCTGCCATTTCTTGCTCTAAGGCTTTATTGGCGGCCTCCTGTGCCTTCAGCACAGTCATTACACCCTGCATCTGAAGGGCTAGGCTGGTGTTAGCACGGGTTAGGCTGGTGTTCGCACGGGAAAGCTCGGCTCTGGTCATTTTGCTGATGTCCACAGGCGTCAGGGTTGTCGGTGTGTTCTTTTCAATGATTATGTCATTTTGTGCAGAAATCACACCCATGAGCTCCTCTTTGGTTTTATCAGAGTAATAACCCATGTTCTGCTGCAAAAAGACACTCTCACAGCCTTCACATCTCTCTAGCTTCACCTTATGCTGCAGTTCTCGTATTTCGCCCTTGAGGGCCTCAATTAGTTCTTGCTGCTTTTTCCTCACACCCCTCTCCCTTGTCAGCCGCAAGTTCAGCTTATCAATTTGGTCCCACGAAGTTGGCGTCCAAAGGGGAGGGCTTGCCTGCTCTTCTTGGTGGAAGGGGGCCTGTTGGTGAACCCCCAGGCCTACTTGTGGGAGGGCCTGGTGGATCGCCTGGCGGCCTCCTTGCTCTCTTTGGCTGAAGGTTTGTGGTTCTCCGTAGTTCTGCATTATTGATTTCCACTCAGGGATGATCAAAGTCCTTCTTCTTCTTATCGCTTAAAGCTGATAAAAAACCAAAGTTCTTCCTCTTATCGTTGAGGGTTGATAAATCCGCGTCTCAAACGTAGACTAGTCTTCTAGACAATGCTAACTCAGAGTAACTCTTGACTCAGGGATGATCAAAGTCCTTCTTCTTCTTATCGCTTAAAGCTGATAAAAACCAAAGTTCTTCCTCTTATTGCTGAGAGTTGAGAAATCTGTGTCTCAAACGTAGACGTCTTCTAGACAGTGCTAGCTCAGAGTACATCTCGACTCCCCTTGATGAGATCAAAGCTCTGATGACATCATCACAGCTCTGTGATGACATCACAGCTCTGTGATGTCATCAGAGCTGTGATGATTTTCATCATTTTTTTGTTTGGTTTGTTTTGTTTTGTTTTTATTTAAAATTGTTTTGATCCGAATTTCCAATGATCTCTTTACTGCCTTTCAACCAAATATGGATAAAATGGCCGCAATACAGCTGACCCAGTGCTGATCAGTGGTGATTAAACAACAGCTGTTTTTCATGAAATGAAGGCAAGTGGTATTTTGTCAAAGTGTTGTTTGGTGTTGTACTTTTATTGCTGCGTACCAATTTTATGTGGCTGTGCATATCTATAGCAATATTACAGATTGTAATACATATACTTTTTTTTTTTGAGACATTTCATAGCGCCACCTAGGCACAGTTAAAGGAAACATGGTGCTGGTTTTCTTGCCGCTGTGGTACCCCATCAGGTGTGTCCTGAACAAATCTCAGCTGCATCACATTAATAAAGAAGGAGTTACAGACCATTAACCGAAAAATGCATTCCCCTCTGCCACCAGGTGGCACTGCAACATACGGATGTAAGTTTGGTGTCAAATTGTTTGATGCTGGAGCATTCTCAAATGATTGAAATCTGGCAGAGGTAGAACCAGTATACAGGAAGGAAACTCCCCAAGCATTTTTTGTTCATATATACATGGGCACAGCAAAATATGCTAGTTAAAGCCGGTCCTTACCCACCTGCCAAATTTCATGGGGTTTTGAGCCCGTCTATGGTGGGGTGCCAAAAAAAAACAAAAGTTCCTCACTAAAGCTTTAAATAGTGAGGGGTGGATTTCAAACCACTTAATTCAGTTTTTGACACCATTTTATAAAAACAGTCCCAGCTTGTTTTTTTGTTTTTTATTTCAAAGTTTTTTAAATCAAAGTAACACACTTTTTCCCAGAATCTTTGATGGAGAAAAGTTTATTTTCCGTTTTGTAGAAACTTCTCACCAAAACCGAGACTGTGAATAACCAAAATAAATACCCAGCAGAACCAATAGACTGTGAAGTGTAGTTACAAAAATAAGTATATGCATTCTGTTTTCTTTTTACATGTGTGTAGACTCTGTCCCCTCTATAATGAAAAAAAAAACAACACCCGTGACACTTAGCAGAAACTCTACTCCCAACAGCTGAATACAAAAATGCTGTCCTGGACACAATATTAGGATTCATGCTCCTATTTCCAAAAAGCAAAACACACTTACCAATGTAAACAAACTCAATTGTTAAAGCATCTGAATATTAGCTTTGTGTGTTTACAATAGCAATCATCCAAAAATGCAGCATGTGGCTGGGTTTTCTAGAGTTTCTGCCCAGGATTTAAAGTTTTTTGAGCATATTTTCAGAATGACATTTTTGAATACTATATTGGTTTGAATTTAACATCCCAGCCTTGATTGCTTTTCTCTGTGTACTTAAGTCCTCTTTAAAGTAATCCCCAGAATAAGAGCAAACACAGTTCTTTTTTTTTCTTTGTTTTTTTATTTTTCTTGCAAAGTTTTTAGTAGTTTAGTTGGGCTAGGAGCCAGGGATTTTCAGTCCTGCCGCTGCATCTGCCTCTGCCTCTTGTATTGGCGGCGATGTTTGGGAGTCACACTCTTTTTGAACCTCCTCCACAGAGAGATGGCCTCCATCTCAGCTGTCTCCTTGACTGTATCAGGATCATCTTCTTCGCAGATGACATTGCTTGTCCCCTCCTGATCTTCAAGTTTGGATGTCTCCTGTAGCAGATCATCCACTGTGGTCTTCAGGATGTCTTTTTCTTTCTCCATTCTCTCATCCAGCTGCAGTTCTTGCAGTTTCTTCACCTGTTCTTCCAGAGAAAGTTTCTCAGCATTCAGCCTCTGAACTTGCTCCCTGTCCTTACTGATCTTCTCTTCAAACATGCTCCTCATTTCCTCCTGTTCTTGTTGGAGGGTAGAGGCCCTCTGTCTTTCATCATCAAGCTTCTTTTTCAGAGATGCGACCTGATCTTGAAGTTCTTGCACTCCAGCCATTTCTTGTGCATCATAAGCCTTCTCCTCCATACTGAAAGGCGCTGCTGCCATCTCACCGATGTAGCACTTTTTTAGCTCTGCCATTTCTTGCTCTAAGGCTTTATTGGCGGCCTCCTGTGCCTTCAGCACAGTCATTACACCCTGCATCTGAAGGGCTAGGCTGGTGTTAGCACGGGTTAGGCTGGTGTTCGCACGGGAAAGCTCGGCTCTGGTCATTTTGCTGATGTCCACAGGCGTCAGGGTTGTCGGTGTGTTCTTTTCAATGATTATGTCATTTTGTGCAGAAATCACACCCATGAGCTCCTCTTTGGTTTTATCAGAGTAATAACCCATGTTCTGCTGCAAAAAGACACTCTCACAGCCTTCACATCTCTCTAGCTTCACCTTATGCTGCAGTTCTCGTATTTCGCCCTTAAGGGCCTCAATTAGTTCTTGCTGCTTTTTCCTCACACCCCTCTCCCTTGTCAGCCGCAAGTTCAGCTTATCAATTTGGTCCCACGAAGTTGGCGTCCAAAGGGGAGGGCTTGCCTGCTCTTCTTGGTGGTAGGGGGCCTGTTGGTGAACCCCCAGGCCTACTTGTGGGAGGGCCTGGTGGATCGCCTGGCGGCCTCCTTGCTCTCTTTGGCTGAATGTTTGTGGTTCTCCGTAGTTCTGCATTATTGATTTCCACTCAGGGATGATCAAAGTCCTTCTTCTTATCGCTTAAAGCTGATAAAAAACCAAAGTTCTTCCTCTTATCGTTGAGGGTTGATAAATCCGCGTCTCAAACGTAGACTAGTCTTCTAGACAATGCTAACTCAGAGTAACTCTTGACTCAGGGATGATCAAAGTCCTTCTTCTTCTTATCGCTTAAAGCTGATAAAAACCAAAGTTCTTCCTCTTATTGCTGAGAGTTGAGAAATCTGTGTCTCAAACGTAGACGTCTTCTAGACAGTGCTAGCTCAGAGTACATCTCGACTCCCCTTGATGAGATCAAAGCTCTGATGACATCATCACAGCTCTGTGATGACATCACAGCTCTGTGATGTCATCAGAGCTGTGATGATTTTCATCATTTTTTTGTTTGGTTTGTTTTGTTTTGTTTTTATTTAAAATTGTTTTGATCCGAATTTCCAATGATCTCTTTACTGCCTTTCAACCAAATATGGATAAAATGGCCGCAATACAGCTGACCCAGTGCTGATCAGTGGTGATTAAACAACAGCTGTTTTTCATGAAATGAAGGCAAGTGGTATTTTGTCAAAGTGTTGTTTGGTGTTGTACTTTTATTGCTGCGTACCAATTTTATGTGGCTGTGCATATCTATAGCAATATTACAGATTGTAATACATATACTTTTTTTTTTTTTGAGACATTTCATAGCGCCACCTAGGCACAGTTAAACGAAACATGGTGCTGGTTTTCTTGCCGCTGTGGTACCCCATCAGGTGTGTCCTGAACAAATCTCAGCTGCATCCCATTAATAAAGAAGGAGTTACAGACCATTAACCGAAAAATGCATTCCCCTCTGCCACCAGGTGGCACTGCAACATACGGATGTAAGTTTGGTGTCAAATTGTTTGATGCTGGAGCATTCTCAAATGATTGAAATCTGGCAGAGGTAGAACCAGTAAACAGGAAGTTATACAGGAAACTCCCCAAGCATTTTTTGTTCATATATACATGGGCACAGCAAAATATGCTAGTTAAAGCCGGTCCTTACCCACCTGCCAAATTTCATGGGGTTTTGAGCCCGTCTATGGTGGGGTGCCAAAAAAAAACAAAAGTTCCTCACTAAAGCTTTAAATAGTGAGGGGTGGATTTCAAACCACTTAATTCAGTTTTTGACACCATTTTATAAAAACAGTCCCAGCTTGTTTTTTTGTTTTTTATTTCAAAGTTTTTTAAATCAAAGTAACACACTTTTTCCCAGAATCTTTGATGGAGAAAAGTTTATTTTCCGTTTTGTAGAAACTTCTCACCAAAACCGAGACTGTGAATAACCAAAATAAATACCCAGCAGAACCAATAGACTGTGAAGTGTAGTTACAAAAATAAGTATATGCATTCTGTTTTCTTTTTACATGTGTGTAGACTCTGTCCCCTCTATAATGAAAAAAAAAACAACACCCGTGACACTTAGCAGAAACTCTACTCCCAACAGCTGAATACAAAAATGCTGTCCTGGACACAATATTAGGATTCATGCTCCTATTTCCAAAAAGCAAAACACACTTACCAATGTAAACAAACTCAATTGTTAAAGCATCTGAATATTAGCTTTGTGTGTTTACAATAGCAACCATCCAAAAATGCAGCATGTGGCTGGGTTTTCTAGAGTTTCTGCCCAGGATTTAAAGTTTTTTGAGCATATTTTCAGAATGACATTTTTGAATACTATATTGGTTTGAATTTAACATCCCAGCCTTGATTGCTTTTCTCTGTGTACTTAAGTCCTCTTTAAAGTAATTCCCAGAATAAGAGCAAACACAGTTCTTTTTTTTTCTTTGTTTTTTTATTTTTCTTGCAAAGTTTTTAGTAGTTTAGTTGGGCAAGGAGCCAGGGATTTTCAGTCCTGCCGCTGCATCTGCCTCTGCCTCTTGTATTGGCGGCGATGTTTGGGAGTCACACTCTTTTTGAACCTCCTCCACAGAGAGATGGCCTCCATCTCAGCT